CCAAACAGCTTGAAATCGATCAACCTACGGAATAACCGATTGTCTGTCATTTCGATGGAAGAGATAAGAGGGGCTTCAACAAATATCAGGGCCCTAGATGTCTCGTCCAACAATTTAATAAAACTATCTACAGAACCTTTTACCCCCGATAACTCAAGCGATACGTTCGCGAACGATACTTCTTACTTAACCGTTTTAAATCTGTACAATAACTTGCTAAACAGTTCGGTTGACTCTCTGGCGGGTTTGATGTACGTGAAAGATAATTTGAAGGTGCTAAATTTGGGTAATAACGGCATATCCGCGTTCCCTGCTATGATATCACATTTCCCTAGCATACAAACGCTAGTTCTAAAGAATAATCAAATCCCTTCGATCCCGAATAACGCATTATTCAATAACTCTCGGTTGAAGTATTTGGATATGACCCACAATGATTTGATCGATTTAGATGTCGCCAAAATTTTCGGTCATAAGAAGACCCATCGCATTAAAATATTGGACGTTTCCAAGAACCGTATCAAAAACTTCTCTATAGAAGAAACCCTTTCAGCGCTACCAAGTTTGACCGCGATCGATATCAGTTTTAATAATTTGGCCACTTTGAATGACAGGCCTCAATTTTTTTCGACGGCTTTAGCTAACAACTCTTACCTTATGGTAATTTTTGGAGGTCTCGCAATTTTATATATATATTTTTTTTTGTTGTTCGTGTATTAGGAAAGTATTATTGAAGAAGGAATTAGAATCTCCTCTTAATATTTATAGAAACCGGAAACCCTTTTTTAAAATTTCCAATAATTTCCGGTTTATGCTTATTTGCAAACCGGAATCAAAACTTATCATTCAGTCCCCAGGGGAGCGCGGATAGGATCTCGACATCAATAAATTACACGCCCAGTCCGTGGCCATAAAAGCGTTAACATTTAAAAACCCCTTTCTACTGGCCTGATTAAAATTAATATTTTGAGTTCGAGATATATCTTCTAATTCCATTTATAAAAAAAGTCAGTTCCACCCACTTTGGCCAGGACCGAAAAATTGATCGGACCTCGGGTAGATTCTGTACAAAGATAAAAATTGTATTTGGTAGTAGTAAGAACTCTCGAAACCGGATCAGATCTAAGAAAAGAGCCAGAACCCCTTTAGAATCTTGAGGAACCATTGTTCGATAAATATCAGGCCAGATCCCTTTCTGTAGGTTCTGAACTCTCGTAAATAACGTAGAGGAAAGGGCTTAATTGTTTAATTATTTATCTTTATAATCTTCTCTCTTCTCCTATTAGTATTTCAATTAAGGTTACGATTGATGCTTCTACAGTTTTTTTTTGAAATTAGTGGAAAAAAAAATAATATTTAGCGCCAGTCATTTCCGCCAAAAAATTAGTAAAATATTAATTATATTTTTATATTAATTCGGACGAACAGACAACCCCTTCGTTTGTGATTGCGTTTTGAAATCGTTCCAAGATTGGGAAGCTAGAAAAAAAATGCGTTTTTTCAGTGAATTCTATGATTCCGATTATGAGAATGATCCGAAAATGAGTGTCGCTAATGTGTCCTTGGATGGTCCGATAATTGGTAAAGGAAATTCATCTCAAGAATCTCAAAATAAAAAACCGGAAGTCTACGAAGAGGAAGAAGAAGGGGATGTTGAAGAAGATGAGGACAGCTTATGTTTAGAAAAATCTCTCAATAGCGCCATATTTTTCAAGGATTTAGCAAATGAGACTATGGCCCCATCGCTGGCTGAATGCTGATGAAGGAAAAGGAAGAGAATGGGTAGAATTTCTAAGCTGTCACAGAAAAAATAATGTTTTAGCGACAAATATTAAAAATTAATTTATAGTAAAATATTATGTTAAATAAATGTATCTCACATCGTTTCGAATTTAAAATAAAAATTCACTTTCCGTTAACCTAATAAAAGGAATTTTTAAAAATTCTTTAAGGATTTTATAAGTAATTACAAAAAAAATGTTCACATGTTAATCTCCACAAGGGAAAACAGTAGTGTTGTTAAACGGTTCGTAGTCGATTTTTAATAACGGTTAGCTCAATATTTCATCCAGAAAAACTATTACGCAAGCCCGAAGATTTTGCTCTTAGAAGAAGGAAGAAAGTTCTAGACATATTTTATCGAAATCTAGAGGGCTTAGGCAACATTTTTCTGGCTAAAATACTAAGTTAGGCGTCTTAAAAAAGCGGCTCAAAACGAGCTGTTTAACAACTCTAGAAAAAACTGTTTTAAGCCACCCCCCCCCCCCCAAAAAAAAATATTTATTATCTCCAAGCCCTTACATTCCTGGAGGATATATGAAGGATTTATCGTAACCCTTATACGAAATATTGCTTAATATCAATTAGAGGTGGACGCGTTATCATGAAATTTATGCGCGATATGATGACTCACCGCGTGGTTATAAATTAGGTGTTCGCGGAATTTTTTTTTTATCAATATAAATTATTATATGAGACATGTTGTCAATTTAAAAACTATATATCTCATACCAATGACACATAATACCTAAACTGGCGATGCATTTATTAAAAGTGTACATCAATGTAAAACAGCTGGGGACGCCATTTTAGAAAATTTTTAAACGAGAGGCCAATTTATTCCTATACCTGACGCAAACTTTATTAAAGTATTGCCTGCTCATCGAGATAACAAGGAAGCAAGTTATCGATTTAATAGTAGTTTTAAACACGAGAATAATTACGTTGTGGGTTACCAAAATGGAGGGTCCAGCTGATTCGCATTCAACTACGCTTTCGAGTGCATTATTATGAATGCGTCGTCAGTCTAGGTATTATTACATGTCAATCATTTATACATGGGTCATTATGCCCCGCCGATCAAGCCTAAATATATTATTTTATTTTAATTTCTATTCTTTTAATTACATTTTTTTTTATATACAACATATAGTATGTTAATTATAATTTTAATTATCATTTTAATAATTAGTATGAACTTATACAAATACAAAATCACTTTAATTTTTATTTTACTTAAATTTGTAAAAGTGAAAAGTTAATAGAAAAGTGAATTAGAAAGAACATTTAAGAAAGTAAAATATTAATTAACCGAAAAATGTAACTTTAAATTATTAATATTAATTTCATTTTCTAATTTAATTTTAGTTCTTTTTAAAAAGGGAATAATTATTAAAAACATTAAAAATATATACGTCTTTTATAAACATTTCTTATTTCCGTCTTATAAAATTTCGATTGAATGATAAATAATAAATCCTTACAACTTCCCGTTCAGGAATAGAAATTTAGCGATAAATAAATTTAATTTTAAATATCTTTTATTTTCATCTATCTTTACCTAAAAAAATTTTATATCAATATTCAAATAACGCTTGGATAATCTGAGGGCAGATTCTCGTCCCATCAATAAATGAAGTTTATCTTATGGAAACAAAAATTAGTATTCTCATCCTTCTGAAAAGCTTTAAAATAATAATCAAATCCCCTAAAAAACAGGACAACATTTCTTTTAAAAGGAAAGACTTATTATGACAGCCACTACATAAGGCAAGTTTAATTCTAAATCCGAATCACAAAAGTCCCAAGTTTTTAATGGACGAAGAAACGGAAGAATCTGATCTTGCTCACAGGTGGCATAACAGTTTGAACATCTGTTAACGAAATCTCGAGGTTGAGACAATATTTTTCTAAGCTAAAATATTGGCTGTATAACAACACTACGGAAGAGATGTAATCAGAAAACCTTAAAAAAATGAGAAATTATATATAAATTAGATGACATGCATAAGTCAATGCCAACTATCATTTATAACTTTTCAAATTCAACCATCGCTCATAAAAAACCGTATATTATATTCCAGATGATTCAGATGTGGTGGCATCAACATCTACTGATGAAAGTTTGTGCGAATGAACTAAATTCATCGCACATATTGGAAGCAGGATTTTCCTTGAGAAAATTAGCTAGTAAATATTTTGTCAGCTTCATACGGCTTCCAGTGAAAGACGACCATTATTAGCCAATCGCTAAGGGGAACAATTTTAAAAAAATATGGACAATTATTTCTTCTTTTTCTAGATAAAATTGATTTATAAATTTGTAATTGTTTTGTGTGTTATTCCTGCCAAAAAAGTCTTTTGGCGGCTAATGGAGGTCTAAAAGGTTCCCTGTGGTCTGGGTCTAAAATAGGATCACCGTCTCCTCGACGTGGACCTAAAGGGGATTGATGTCAGGAAGGGCATCCGATTGTAAAAACCTTGCTATAAAATTCCTAATGATTAGATCAGTGGGAAAACTGGCCAACCTGGGTAAACCTGGAAATCGCCATTGAAAAAATAAAAGTAATAGCCATAAAAGTTTCGAAAAAAAATAATTTTCGGTTAATGATGCTTACTACCTTAAGGTACTACCTATCAAATTTGAATTTTGCTTATTTTTCATTTGGATAGGCACTACCAAATATATTTATAATATATATTTGAAAAATCGTGATTTTTGGAAAGCCTCTATGGCCTAGTAGTAGGCAAGAGCTTGGCTTACTGATCCCATGGTCGCGGGTTCGAATCCCGGGAATGGTCATGTTTTTTTTCTTAATCTAACTTGGTGGTTCCATCCTTAAGGGGATGATATATAGAAGGCCGGACTCGACCACGTGATTCCGTTATAATATATTAAATAATAAGCATCTTAATAACATTTTAATAAATTATGGTCGGTATTTAGCAAGTTAGGTTGATTATTTAGAATATTTCCATTCATTCACTTGGTAGTAAGCATCATTAACCCTAATTTTCTGGCGTGATCAAAATATTGTGTTTTGTGAGCTGGCGGGTATGGTCAAAAAATTTTGTTAGTAGTAAGCGTGAAAGTGGCGCGAATTTTTTTTATCGCCACTGTGAAAATAAGGATTGCGCCCACCTCTAATCTCAATCATTTTAAACTATATTTTTTTTTTAAAAAAAACGCGAATTTTGCTTTTATTTTCAAGTATATTTATAATTACGGAAATTAAAATGAAACGTTCACCAAAAAAAATTTCCAAACAAAAAAATTAAATTAAAACAAAACAAAATAGTAAATAATAGAAATAATACGATTTTATGCATCTTACAAATATATATAAAAAAATTATTTTTCAAAATTTTAAAAAAAATAAAGAGAGGGTGTAGGTGATGGAAGGGGGAGGGGGTGAGAGAATCTGAATCTTGAATGGGAAAATATGGATTGATTGCTCTTAGTGTTTAGTTTTGATTCCCAAGAAATGCAAAAATGCGTCGTCGCTAGGTTCACGTCCCAGAAACTTCTTCAGCATATCCACGGCATCCTACAGTGCAAAAAAAATAAATAAAAAGTAGAATTTTGTTGAATTTTTACTAAAAAAAAAGTTGTTTTTTTATATAATACCTACATTTCGAATAAACAAAGTCAAAAAAAAAACGAGAACTTGGTTCAAAAAAAAAGAAAAGTAACCTAAAATATATGCAAAGAAAAAAATTATCGTTTAACCTCACTGCCTCCTTTGTGCAAAATGTCCATCCTATAATCCATTCCCGTCTTTGGGTTCATGATTCCTTCCTTCAAAAATCGGCTTTCGAACATATCCATGCAGAATCTTTCGCTCCACTACATATTAAGATAAATAAAAACACTGCGTTTTATTAATATCCTCCTTTATGATGTATTAGATAATTATCGAATATATTATACTACCCCCCCCCCTTCCTAAATCATCTTAAAACGAAGAAGAACATATTTTAGAACGATCTATCGTCGGATGATTTATAGTGCATGTCCAATTTTGTTTTTAAATCAGGAAAAGCATTTTTTTTTCAAAAAAATATTGTTTATAGTAAGTAACAACCAATGACATATAAGTAATACCTAGACTACGCATTCATAATGCTGTCTTTGATAGCGTCGTTGAATGCGAAGCTGGATGCGTCATTTTGGTAACACGTGTAGTAATAATTCTCGTGTTAAAAAGTTACTAAATTGATAACTTGCTTCTCCTTATTATCTCGTTGATCGGGAAGTTCTTTAATAAACTTTGCGTCCGACTAAGGAATGCCTCTCGTTTAAACATGTTTAATAATGATAGAGGTAACCAAAATGGCGTCCCCAGCTGTTTTTATTGATGTAAATTGTCAGTTTAGGTATCATAACACGTCATTGGTGACAACATGCAACTAAAGGATTATTTCGAAAATTTCAATATTTTTTTTATCTTTGATATGAAGAATTCGCAAAAAAATAATATGTGACAACCGATGATATATAAATTGTTTTAGAGATTTTATTAGACGTTTTTAATTGAAAAAAAAAATAATTTAGTCGGATGTGTGCTAAGGGAGACCTCTCTCCACTGTAAATTTATATCAAAAATCAGCCGACATGATAAAATAAATGCAATAATACCTTCTTTTTTAAATAAAGCCAATTTTCCCTGTATTTTAGAACCTATATCCTTTTCAGATAAAAAAACGCCCTGACGGCAAAACCGTCGTACCTTTTTTCATGGGAAAGCCTTCAATGTGGGATTTTACCTGCATTGATCCCATGGCCCCATCTAATAATTCCCATGATCCCCTTGACAGAGCCGAATCTCTGAAAAATATAAAATACTCGCACCTAATGTGTGATAACAACTTTGTTCCAATAGCAGCTACATCAACCTGCTCTTTTGGACAAGAGGCTTTAGATCTATTCAAAACAATATCCAAATCAATAAAAAAAACTCAAGCAGAAAATCGCCGTATCTATAATTAGATCTAATAATTATCAAATATTTAAAACATCATGGCCCAACCTCGCCATTTGATATTTCTTTTTTTTTAATGTTTTTTTCTTCTTCTTTTTATAAAAATATACATTTGTATATTTTTTTTAACTTAAATTGATATATGACATATTTTATTATATTCTCTATATTTTATTGTTATTTTTTAAATAATTATATTTTATCATATTTGAATATGAATTTTAATAAAAAAATTGAATTTTAAAAAAAAAATAAATAAATTCTTACTAAACCATATAACTATAATATTGTCCATCGTACCCACCGGCTAAGTGACCGAATGAAGCTGCCATGTTGGTTCCTTGAGTGACGGGAATTTTCATGATGTCCTTTGACACCGTGTCAAGAATGCTCAGAATATCGACCTGGGGAAAAGATATATAAAATCCGTTGATAAATGATTATTACAATTCGTTTCCTTGGTGTAGATTAGATTAGAATATAAATCTACTTTATTCCCTTATGACTGCCTTTATCTTTTATAATCAATTTCTTCCTCGACTTCCGGTATTTAAGATGTAAAGTCAGTTTTTATACAAACCAATCTCAATCTTATGGATTTTTACCCTGATAAAACTACTTTTTTTTCTCATAGATTTTTAAAACAAATGAATCGTAAATATGGAAACTTTTCCGGCTTTAGTATGGATTAGATGATCGAACGTAGCCAAGTACAATTGTCTCATCGTCATGATGGCTATATTGGCTTTGCGTGATTTGATCAATTTTTGCAACAAATCTTCTGGGATGGGGGATCCATCTTTTAAGGATAAAATTTTATATTTAGCTTAAAAAATAATAACTAATTTCGTTTATTTGTATCTTCCTTCGTCAAAATCAGGTTTTTCTGGCAGGGAGTTCTAGTTCGAAGGATGGATAGGGGGGGGGCAAGATCGTCATTAGAATTGTGGGGGGGGGGGGGGGGGGGGGGGGTAGGCGATGAAAACGTTACATCATTTGAATAAAATTGGTGGTAGGTGTTACAATCAGGGTTGATGAGTCGGCCAATTAACCGAAGGAGAATTTGACCTGGTCAAATATGGTCAAATACTCGAAAATGTTATTCGTTGAAATAAATATATTGATTTAATTGACTAATATGTATTTCAAAAAGCAGTTTTTATTAATTTTCAATTAGGTTACAATTAATTTTAAATTATATTTGCATCATCAAGGCATCGAAAGTATCCACGAGGGAGATAAGGAGATTTATTTTATAAGCATTCTTTAAATGGCTTCTGGATAAGATTTACATATTGAACTATTAGATAAAATTTTCACATTACTAATTTGATTCGGATCTCAAATATATAAATAAATATTATTTCTATAAAGCATGGTTTGAGAAAATTACTAATTGTAAAATATATATTGTATGATGAACAACTATCCAAACAAGAATGGGCGTTGTCAATGAAAGGCGAGGAGCAAATAATACTAATATGCGATAAATTTCTGAAAGCAACTATTAAAGAAGTTTGGATATTTACGAAAGGAAATCACCAGTAATATATTAAATTAAAATATATATTGTATGATGAACAACTATCCAAACAAGAATGGGCGTTGTCAATGAAAGGCGAGGAGCAAATAATACTAATATGCGATAAATTTCTGAAAGCAACTATTAAAGAAGTTTGGATATTAGTACGAAAGGAAATCACCAGTAATATATTAAATTAAAATATATATTTTAGAAAAAAAAATTTAATTTTAAAACTATTCTTTATATTTTAGGTGCCGGTGCAAAGGGATAAATGTACTCTAGCCCATGTTAAAAGGGAAACGCTTAATTTAGATTTCAATCATGCCATGATTCAATATTCTCTCCACCTGATGAAGAAGAAAGAAAACAATCCAAATATAAGGGGATCATCTTATTATAGTAGTGAGTTTGATTAAGCATCACGTGATATAATTCGAGAATTAGGCATTTTTACAAGTTGGTGATAATAGTAGAAGTAAAAGCGGCGGTGTGTTTAATAACCAAACTGTGTGGAAAAGCAGTTACTTTAATTAGGAACAATGCTATTTCGGGCTCAAGCTGCTGGAATGGGTTTTGCCCACCTTGAATATCAGGAGAAGTGTCTGCCAAGTTTCGTCCATTTTAAAAAATGGTTGTCCGAAAATTACGCTATTTTCAGTGGGATAATATCGAGAAAAATTATTATCCTCATTATTTCCACCTATAACTCAGATACCTCCAGGTCCAATCTCGGTCCGGGTAACAACTGCTAATTTAAAAATCCAGGTAAAAAAAAATATTTTGAGCTTCAATTTGGTTGGAAAGGTTTCCCGCAAATATTTACCCATTTCCGGTAATTTAAACACTTTAATCCGTGCCCTAACAGCCATAGGATCTTTTAACGTTCGCTAGATTCAATTTCCTTAACCCAAATCAGGCCATATGAAAAAAAATTTTTAATAAAAAAAACTCCCTGGGCAGGTTTGTTTAGATTTTAAAAATATATATTATATCCGGGCTGGGCTGCGAAATCTTATCATTACAAGGTCTTTGATATATATATATATATATATATATATATATATGTGTGTGTACACATTTTAGATGAGAAATTGATTTTACCTTTGTGATGCCCTGACATCAATTTGAGTGATTCGGCTTCCCAGCACCAATTCTCCAGCATTTGGGAAGGGGTTTCCACGAAGTCCCTCTCTACACTCGTGCCACTATTTCATTTAAATAAATATAATTTGTTTTATAAAATACCAAAAAAAAAATTTTTTTATGATTATTGTAGTCATCAGAGCCCTCTCTTATGGGTAGATTCGAGTCCCCAACAAAATCTACAATTGGCGAAGAGTGAAGTTCACTGGTAGGAAAACAATTAATTTTTTTTTCATTACCAATAGCATAAAACATAGGATGCATAGATGAGAAGAATTTGTCTTTGTTTTAAAATTATTCATAAGTTATTGCCATATTTGAAATGGGTCAAAGTCAAATAATTTTATTTTTTTCAAATTCCTAATTCAATTTCATTGTTTTCAATCTAAACCAATGATAGACTGGATACGTGGTCCACAACGGGCAGGTTTTTAACTAAGGGTGGTCCAAAGGAGCGGGTTTTTAACTACGGACCGGCAGTGCGCGAAAAGGAAGTGACGTTTTATTTTTTGGGGCTTATAAATAATATATTTTATAAATTCAAGTTAAAAAGCCCAACCTGGGGTTGACCAAAATTTTTAGAGAAATGAGCGGGAAAGAAGTGAATTTTAAAAAAAACTTTGGTGGGGTAGGTCAGCGAGTTTAGAAAAATTTTTTATAAATGGCGGGCTAGAAGATTGAAATTAATGATGGATGGGCAAGGCGTTTGAATAAATTGCCAGCCCATTAATGACCTCCAGAATAAGTAATCTATTAAGGTTCGTCGTGTTTCTACGATAAAATCTATTATTTAAGATGAAAAAATCCTACTCTTCAATCGGGGTTCTTGGAGTGAAATAGGGAAAAATCTTGGATTGGCTTCTCGAGAATGTATATTTGACTAAAAATTATATCGATCCTAATTTTATTTAAGAATATTTTATAGTACTGTAGTCCAACCGGATATAAGCACATTCCTCCAGCTCGAATTGGACTTTGATCTTCAAATTTATTTCCAGAGAGAGGAACCAAAGTCTCTTACAAAAATTTTAAACGATTTTCTTTGCCATAATTTATCATCCATTTTTTTTTTGTTTTTAAGAATAACACATAAAATAAAATTTCCAACAGTGACCAAGTATTTTTCCAGCATTCTAATCAAAAAAAATTGAATCAAACATGAATCTTAGAAAAAAATGAATAAATACCGGGCTTAGATTAATAGGAGAAAAAATTTTTTTTTAATTATTCACCTCAGATCATTCTTTCTTTCTTTCTTTCTTTCTTTCTTTCTTTCTTTCTTTCTTTCTTTCTTTCTTTCTCTGATCCAAGAAACAAGTGGGTCCAAGGAAGGGCTCTTAGTCAACAGTATTATATTTTTATTTCCTTTCTTTCGACAATTGGTGCGAAAATTGATATCGTTCCTTAATGAGTTATTCAACATCATTTTGATTGATATTTTGACGTTATTTATTTTTTTTAAATTATGACATAAGGAATGGGAGTTTAGCTTTATTTACCTGAAATGAGCCAATCGGCTCTGAGCGCATAGGTCGTGCATCACGTGACCGAATTCGTGAAAGTAAGTGGTGACCTCATCGTGAGTTAGCAGGGGAGAAGTTGGGCCATCTCCGGACGTGTTACAACCGCGGGTAAAATTGGCTACCATTGCCGCTACGGCTAATTGCCGTTTTCCTGTTACGTATGTAATTGGTTAAAAGATATATTTTAGAATTGCAAGTTAAAATTTTTATCAAAAATTTTTTGAAGATTTTTTTTTCAAACTCTTAACAGACACGTTTTAAAAAATATATATAATAAAATATAAATACTAAGCTACATAATATTTTCGAAAAAAAAAAGTATTTAAATACAAATAATTTGACAAATTTTTTTTAAAAAATGATTGAAATATTTTTTTGACTGAAAACAATAGTAATCACCCTTAGTCTTAAAGCTTCATTTTTGATTTATAAATCCAATTCATCTGTTTTTCTTTATAAAACAGAGTAGTTTAGCCTTTTCATGATGTATATTAAAGAGTTTGGCATATTTTAAGCCCGCATTATTTAACTGCACAGACCGATTACGAAAACTATTCATGTTAATTAACTGTCAACTATGGTTTATTTAAACCTGAACTATATAGCAAACACATGAGTCTGATAATTTCGTTGGGTAAAAATGAGTTTTAATAATTTTTCTAAAAAATAAAATTATTCTATATCGATAATTCTAATCTTTATTTCACAAATATATCACTATCATAATAATGTCACATGATCTAAAGACAAAAAAAAATGTTATATATCTCTTATTCGAAATCAATTGAAAAACGTCCATAAATGTCAATTATATATCAACAGGATACAACAAATATCTTAATTAATACTGAGAAATATCTTAATTAATACTGAGAAATTTCATAATAATGAATTTAAAAAGGATATTTTTATCGTTTATGCATATGAGAACTTTCTGTGTACGATTGAGATATTTATGAAAATTTTATCGATTTTGTTAAGAAAAAGTCATCAAGCATCATATTACGCAGCACGGCCAACATAATATAGCAATATCTAAGAAATGATCTGGGTAGAATATTAGAAAATAACAGTAAACCTGGTATTTCCCTTTTTCTAAATTTAATAAAATGCTTATATACCATCTTTCCCAGCTTGGGCGGGTAAGAGACATGAAGGCTTAAGACCGAAACAGGCAGCATGAGCATATTTCCCGTCCCTGGGGTAGAGGTCGAGGTAAAAGTATCCAATAAGCTCGTCCGTCTTAGCGTCCTTCACCGAATACTATAAAATGGAGATATTATATACAATTGCTAAAAAAAAAATTATGTCGAATTTGTATAGATGCATAATCTAATTCTCTCGAAAATTAACCGTCAATCATTTATTTAAAGAACGTTAACTTTCGGGGAAGTGTTAATTGTATTGGGGGAATTAACAAATCAAATCTATATATATTTTTTTATAAATTTTAGGGTAATTGAAAAATAAACTTGAAACCTAATAGATGAATAAATAAAATGGTTTACTCACTGTTTCGACATCTTGCTGCCATACAGATGTTGCCTCACCAACTTTATTGAATTTCAGTCCTAGCAATATCTGCGACAAAAAAAAAAGGAAAAATATGTTAGTAAAATATTAGAATAAGATAATATAAAACATGAATATATCAAATGCAAATATTTTAAGAAATTCAAATTTTCAAAACTTTAAAATTTAGATAAATTAAGTTAGTTATATAGGATATAGATGGAACCAACAATCTTTAAGGTCAAATAATTTGCAGGCAAGCTCGTCCCCCCCCCACCCAACCAAAATTATATACTCCTCACGCCTACATCCCCGCCCACGGGGTGAGTTATACCTTAAAGAAATGTGGATCAATCACGATAATAAAAAAACTAGTAACTTGGTAAATATTGAAAAGCCCGGCCGTCACTTTGTTGAGCGGAAAGTACTGCTTGACCTTTTGGTGGTCAACGGCGTAATTTTCTTCCTCGACCATGTTGGCGTAATACCGCAGGTCCCAGTTATCTATAGTTAACGGGTCCGGGACGGGTTTACCCATAGCTTTTAACTGTTAATTTTTTTTAAAAATGAAAATTTAGGGTCTCTATAAAGTTTACGTTTTTCTCAACTTATACCTCTTTAGCCTTGAAATCTTTCAGGGTTTTGAATTCTGTATCGTAAGCCGGCCTCAACTGTTCCACCAGTCTGGCCAAAAAATCCCGGACAGTTTCGTAATTTTTGGCCATCCTCAACTCGGTCACGTAAGACACGTGATTAGGGAACCCTAGGATCGAGGCTTCCTTGGAAGATAGTATTGTTTTTTAAAAATCGTATTTTGTAAATTAGTAAAATTTATAGGGTTTTTTCTCTCATTCCTTCATTTCCTTTTTTCATTATAACTTTCTTTATTCACTCCATTTTTGAATAATAGGTTGTATCTTGCAAGTTTATGTGTCCTTTCTGCATACATATATATCTTACTAGTTTATGTAAATTTCTGCATACACATATTATATAAATTTCAAAAATAAATCGTGTTTTCATATATATAACTTGATATAAAAAATTTTAATTTTGGGGTTGTGTAAAATTAAACCAACCTATTAATATTAAGATTATTTTAGAAGTTGACTTGACAGGTAGTTAATCAATCATTTAAAAGTTCTGTCAAAATTTTTGCCGATAGGGCTTTAAGCCAGAAATCGAATCATGAATGCAGTAGTGTTGCTAAACAGCTCGGATTTGAAGCAGATTTCTAAAGATGGCTAACTCAACATTTTACGCCAGAAGAATATTGCCCTAATCCTCAAGATTTTGCTAATAGATATCCCCTAAGACCAAAATCTTCAAGCTTTGCGTAGTATCTTCTTGGATTAAAATATTCAGTTAGCAGTCGGCTCAAATCGAGTCTAGATGCAAGATTATAAAAACAAAATAGTAGCTACTAGTTAACACTAGTAGCATTTTTTTTCTAGAAGTTCTTTAAGCATCGAAATAGTTCTGGAATAAAACGCTGGCGATAAATAATATATATATATTTAGTTTCTAACTAACCCTCTGTCTAAGAGTGATCAATTCCTCCAAAATGGGCAAGTTGGTCTTTAGGCATCTAATATAATATATATAATTTTTTTTTAATAATGTGCATCTTTATAAAAATGATCATTTATTTTAAAGTTTATCAAAATTTTCCAAAGAACTTATGGAAGCGAATGAATTTATTTATCTTAATCGTTATAAAAAAAATTATCTTTCGTATCTGATAATTATATCAAAAATCATTCGTAGTATGAAAGTGACTAGGCTGTGCCGATATTAAATATTGGATTGGATAGGCACCGATAATTAGCGTTTTCCGAAAATATCGGGTCGGGCGGTATCGGATAGGTTTTGAAATCAATATCGAAAATATAGGATCGGTGAAAAATATGTCGATCGGCACAGCCCTAAAAGTGACCTATCCTAACATTATTCCTACTAGCAGTTCGGTGTTTAAACTAAGGCTTAGTTATATCAATAGAAGTTTCATTATGCTGATATAGTAAAAAGTAAAATAGGAAAATCGATCAAAAAAAATCAGAATTTTATAGTTTCTCTAACAACAACAAACTCACAAATTTTGAAAATGTCAAAGTAAAACATTTCAACCCCTTACTAGAGTTGATAAAATAAATTTTAAAAAAACGGAATTTAGAAATTAAAGGAAAAGTTAACCTGGAATTGAAAGCAATCTCCATCGTTTTCCTGGTTTCAGGGTTTTTAGCTTTCTTCATGATAGGATTGTAATGAGGATACTTCAGAGTCACCTTGTACTTCCCGCTATCAGTCTTAGAATGTTGTTGTTTTTTTTTTCAAGTTAAAAACAAAGATAATTTTTTTTTTCTTAAGATCATAATAAAATCTTTACATAACATGCCTTAATCTTTAAGTTGAGAATTTGGCACGAAGGAATAACGTTTTACTCAACTATGCCTACTACGCACGATGCGATTAAATAAATCCCCTTTATAGATAAAATAATTTTTTAATGAAACAAACCAAAGCCATCAAAAATAAATATTTTTCTTAAACCGAAAATACGTGTGATCACGTGATAATAATAGAACTCCTTAAATGCCACGTTAAAAAAAATACCCAAATCAGCTGCCTCCATCTTTAAATGTATCATTATAGTGGAAATACCCCTCCCCCTCCTCTTCCCGATACAATTCGACACTGAGATAATTTATTCTCGATCCAAAAGAATGGATGTAAATCCACGTGCTAAAAGTGTTAAACAGAAAGAAAAAAAAATACTACCTATTCTAACTCACATTGCAGCAAACAACCTTCCTAAAAAAGCTAAAGTTTCCGTTCACAAAGAAACACTTTTATTGTAAGTATTTAAAAACAAAAAAAAACATATAAAACAAACAAAACACAGTGGTTTATAAATGGCGTGTTTTGAGTCGATTTTTTAAAACGGCGCCAACTCAGTATCGTAGCCAGAAAAATATTGCCTAAGCCTCGAGCTTTTGGATAACATATGTTCTAGAGACCTTTGCTCCTTCTATGAGCAAAATCTTCAGGGCTCGCGTAACATTTTTTTCTGGGTGAAATATTGAGTTGGCCGTTTAACAACACGAGGTAAACAGTTTAATTTTATCGTTAGACTAGCAAGCGAGCTATAATATCGAGTTGTCACGACACTATTCGTGTCCATCAAAAATAATTATTATGGCGATACCCGCCATTCGAACGAGACCCGGTCCGAGTTTTATATTTTCGGGCTCGGCCCCGGGTATTTTTTTAAAAAAATTAAACGGCCCGAACCGTGTACCCGGGCTGGGCGCGGCCTACAGGTCTCTGAAATTAAAACTAAACGATCCTTTGGAAGGTGGGTTCGGTCAACAACCGATTAAATTTGAAATCCGAACTGAGGTCCCTAACGGGGAGATACAATGGCACATCGTTCTTTTTCGAAATCATGAACAGATGGCATCGTGAACCATTTTTTTAAATCGCAAAGCGCGATTGTCTTTCACTGGGCATCCTTCGAACCCAGAAAAAAAAAACTATACGCGACCTGATTTTGGCAGATAAAATTCTTATTCCAAAAAATTTCGTTCCATTGCCATAATCAATCTTTACACCTCTTTAAACTCTACGATCAATACTACTACCGTAACCAAATTCATCTAGGTTCAAGCAAAAATATAAAAAATGTCCTAAAACAACGCTTAAGATGCTCCCTGAAACCTTGAGAGATCTGAGACCTTGCCCAAAATTAAATATATAATCTAAGCTTTTTTAAAAAAATTTCTAAGTCTAACAAAAGAAGGATCTAGATTTCAAATCAACGCCTCTGTAAGCCATCAACTCGGAGTCCGTGTCTTATACGTAACATGAAATGGTCACATTATAAAAGAATAAACCATATCGCTAAAGGCTTCCTACCAATGCGTGGACATTACCGATCCAATCAAATCATATTAAAGAATGAACAGCTACAAAACCCCCATCTGATTCTCCAAACATCATCCAAAATAAATAACGTCTAGCATTTTCAGCAAATTTTCAACAAATAGATAGGTCTTGGGAAAGACTTGGTGGACTGATCAAAGATAAATCCAAGATTGAACAATGATTTTGATATCACCCCCCCAAGGACGGAACCACCAAGTTGGCTTTAGGAAAAACATGATCCTTGCTGGATTCGGAAGATCAAAGATGAATCCGAGATTGAATATGATTTTGAAAAAAAAAGAAATATGCTCATGCTTGCTAAGATATGTAAACGAGGGGGGGGGGGGGAGTGTATTGTCCTGTTTTTGGCCCTAAAAAAATTTCAAGCTTTAAGTCTTATAAAATTTTTCATTTTCAATGCGGCGGGGGGGGGGGGGGAATTTAATGATAAGTCACCATTTTGGATAATGCCGAAGGGGTAAGTATCGAAAATAAGAGTACAAAAAAAAATGTAACTCCTATTTGGATCTGAGAATATATCACTCAAAAAAATAGAATAAAATTGGCATTTCTTTTCCTTTTCTTGTCTTCTTTGCGAATCCACGAGAAAAAAAAAATATATAATCAAGAATGAACAAATTAAAATAAAATATCCTCTTTTGTTTTGCCAAGGAAAAAAAATAAAAAGTGATATAAAAAATTTGAGTAAAATGGTAATTTTTTTTAATTCTTTATTTTTTTTTAATAAAAATAAGTAATTTTTAATTCTTTTTGAAGTTACCTTGAAATTAATATTTAAAAAAAGATAAGCATATTATATTTTTTTTAGGATTAATAAAAATAAAAATATAGATACTAGTGGTGAACATTTAATTAGACTCCCTCATTTAAACAATCCAAACAGTATTTACTAAACTTTGATATTTTTTTTAAAAAAATCAAAAAAATCGGATTTTTATATTTTAATCCTAATTTTTTTTATAAAAAAAAAATTTAGATTTTATTGGGAAAGTTTTATAAACTCGAGGACTTATATTATGTATAATGAAAGTAAATAGTACATTATATTATTAGGGCCCATTGTCGGTAATGCATATAATATGCTTAAGAAGATAAATAATATTTAGTAAAATTCTCATTTCGTAAATGTTTTACCTAGTAGATGCGTTTAAAAAATTTTTAAAAAATCATTTTGCACATTAAAGATCTTTAGTGAATGTAGGCAGAACGCACTAACAGATAACTCTAAACTCATTTGTGAAGAAAACTCCCCCCCCCCAAAAAAAAAAAAAATATTGACAAATAATTTGAGCCAATAAAGTCAATGTATTCGGAAGAAACAAATCATCAAACAATATCAGATTACATTGAACAATGGATTAGAGGTGCTTGTTTATTAAATCATAAATAAATCATAAACATTTAGTAAATATTTGCTATGAACCCTTCTATATTATATAATTTTTTGAATCTAGAGTTGGTGGAAATCCTAAATGTAGAAATAATCCTAACCTTAAATCAACCCCCCCCCCTATTGTAACTGGTGTTGTTAGCGGGTCGATTACTATACTGATGTATATTCCTAGTATTTTAGAACAGTAATTTTATCTGTTCATGCTTATATTTGTAGTTGGTATATCTTCTTTTTTGTTTGTAGAACACTAATTTTGTCATGTCAGAGTCTGATGAAGAGGAGATAAGGCTAAGTGAGAGATTTGGCGAATCTATCTCAATACCTGTAACACAAAAAAAAATCGCGCAGTGTTTCCGATTGGTTTAAACTAGGCTCAGCACTAAACTATTTTCTAATTCGCAGACATTTAATTGTGGAGAAATCCCAAGTGAGGATCTTTTGATTTGGGGATCTGTTAATCGATGAGATTAGGGGATACGTAACCTGCGTGTAATGAAAACGATTGGCGGTTAGGACTCGTACAAGAAGTGAATGTAATTAGAGATGAAATGAAAATTAATCTTCTTTTAGGACCAGCGAATTCTTTTTGCTTATCCCAGCGTAGCGTTGTTAAACGGCTCGATTTGAGCCGGTATTTTAAAAACCAGCTAACTCGATATTTTGATTTTGCTCATAGATGGGCAGCACAAAAGCTTGGACATCTTATCAGAGAAATCTAAGAGGCTTTGACAACATTTTTCCGGCTAAAAATCTTGAATTGGCAGTGCCATTCAACAACGCTAATCCAGAGGCACGAGATCTCCTTTCCATACCAAAAAAAATAATATTTAAAACAATAGTTAGCCCATCACCGGCTAATGGGCGTACATATTAAATTCATAGCAAAGAAAAACGAAATTATCATGACGTCAAAAAAAAGACTACATTTAATGATACGAAAATAGTAGTGTTAAAGTTACTTTTGAAATATAACTAGTTAGAGTTACACAGTTATTTTTTAGCGAAAATGTAACTAGTTACTTTTAAATAGTTGCTTTAACAACACTAGAAAATAGGAAATATCTTTCAAGAATTTTAATTTATCTTTTATATTTTACAAAAAATAATAATAAAAAGAAGAAAAAAAAATGATAATAACAGCAGCTAAATAATCTCATTCCACGATTATATTAATGCTAGAAAAACTTATTAATGTTTAAAAAAATAATAATAATCTCAACAAAACGCGTTTATTTTTAATTTAGAAAGAAGCGCCATCTATTTTTGAAAAAAAAATTTTTTTTATTTTTTTAAATCGCAATAACTAAAAAAAAACCCATAGCTGTCCTAATTAAATTTTCTTTTTTATGAATAGATTACAATGTTTGTTAATAGAGTTTTCATGTTTTATAATGTAAATAAAAACCGCAACAATAGGCCTTTAGGCCGCATTCATAGTGAGATCTGATCCGACACAATTTAACAGCTGATCGATTTTTAAATCAGTTTATATGAGAATCAATTTTTCTTTATTTAAAAACCAATATTTATTATGTTATTATATGTAAATTAAAGATAAAATCAATATTATTATTTTAAAAAATTGATCTCATAAACAGATTTTTAAAAATCAATCCGCTGTTAAATCGTGCCGGATCGAATCCCACCATGAATGTGGCCTTATAATAGAAGTTACAAAATGGCATATAATTTTTTTATTTTTAAAAAAAGGTCATTTGAGGCATTTTTTGACCATTGATATCTCAGGAACTATGAGTAGTACTAGTAGGGTAAAACGTTAGATTCGATGATTTCTATGATTCCTCTCGGTATGCAAAATTTTATCAAAATTTAAAAAAGTTGGGCCTGAAAGGTTATCGATTTGGAATTGGAATTACCTAACTATCTATATTTTTAAGACATGGTTCATAGATAGGTGGTAAATAAAAATCAATATAAATATTGGATTGTTATCGGATGAGAACAGCCCTAGTATTTATTTAATATATCAGATAATTCCAAGTAATATTTTTTTAAACAATATTTATTATATAATCTTAATTTACAGCATAAAATTTTTACCTCTTATGACCTAGCTTAGTCAAGAATTAAACAAACTTAGACTAGAAAAAGATAAAAAAAATTAGTTTTTCATTTCAAATATTTTATTGACGAAATTTTATATGCTAAATTTGTTATTGTTAAAATTTTTATCTAATAATTTGAATATTTTTTTTAAATAAATTACTAAAATGATTTTTAGGCATAGGAAATTGATTATTTTCACTACTGAAACTATTTAAAAGAGTAAAATGTCAAGTGCAATGTAGGTGATTAATTTTAATATTTTATTTATTGTGTTCAAAAAAAATTGATTTAAATCAATAAAGTAAAATTTAATATTTATTTTTGAACATGAGTTAGGTTAAGAATATATTGGAATTAAAATGCATCTTTATTTCTATTTTCTTATATATCATCTTTATAAAATATTTTCATTTAAACTTGTTCAAGACATTCTAAAAAATCATCTGGCAAGCCATCTAACTCTTCTTTTGTGTATTCCAATATTGTCACATCTTCATTTAAATTCTGAGAAAAATCAATACATAGTTCATTCATTCTTTTCTTTATAATTTTAAGCTCATCTTGTTTATCCTTTGATAAGTGTAAACCTATTTATTTAAATAACTTGATTATATTAAAATATTTGGATTATTTTAATATATTTTTTATTATATATCTAAAAAATATTAAGTTAGTAATATGTTTAAATATTTATATTAGATGATAACCATTTCTTTTTCCAATTTTAATTAAGCGGTCTAAGTATCTTTTCATTTCATGCTCCATATTATCTTTATTTGCTAATTTCTTGTCCAGTGCAACAATATTGTCAAATATATCTTGCCTCATACTTGATTTAGATTTATTAATGAATTTAAAATTTATAAGAAAACCTCATTTCTACATCAAAATCAGAAAATTTATGTTCAACATCACATGAAGTTTTTCTCAAATCTTTATCTGGAGAAACATGTTGAAAAAAACAAATTATATTCTGGGCACTGTCATATTCACATTCATTATCTGATAAAGGCTATAATGACGAAATATATTTCTAATTTTTATTGAATCAAGTATACTTGTAATAAATTGTCTATGCTAACTTTATCTTTATCCATATGACCAACTTTATCATATAATATTTTAGTTTCAGCCATCATAGCCTCTGATTCCTTTACCAAATCCTCTGAAGTGAGATTCCATTTGATATTTGCCATATTCCAAGAGTATATAAATTGTTTTATAAAGTTAGGTTTTTGATTATTTGCGATTTTAAAAATTGAGTTTTTATAGTTTCGCTTAGCAATACAGACCAAACTTAATTTCACGAAATTTTTTAACATAATGGTTTTACAATTATTTGTTCAATTGTATTTACATTTTTTCATTAAATAATTAATACGGACTTTAAACATATATAAATTTTGTGGTTCTTGCATTTATCATTAAATAATTTAATATGATCCTTAAACCAATATAAATTATTACAAACTAAAAGCTATCTAATAAACTAATATTCTATATTAATATTGTCAGGCTGAGTTAAAGATTATGAGGATTTTACAGGTCTTCATCTTAACTCATAATAAATAAATCATCTATAGCTTTTATCTAATTTAAATTAATCTAATAGAGCAGTGGCGTCACTAGGAAGAGGCGCGCAGGGGCTCGAGCCCCCTAAAAAATTTGAATAGCCCCCTGAAGCAAAATTTTTTTTTTAAATGGCTCCTAAATATCCCCTTGAACTAAAAATAAATTTTTTTGATTGCGCCCTCAATGTTTTCTTTTATAAATCTATTAAGTAACATATATGTTAAATTTTATTTTAAAATTAATGAGACTATCTAAATTTTTATTGAGTGAATACTTTTTTAATTATTAGATTAAATTAATACATAAATATTATATTTTCACTATGTCAGCTTGAAATCAAATTTTATGTTAAAAATAGAATATCAAATCAATATTACTCACTAAATATTAATTTAGCAACAGTTGAAGCTTAATTGACTTCAATTATTTAAATTAAAATATAATCCTAATTAAATTAATATAATCATTTATTAATTGAAAATTAACAAATTTAATATTGTAATTAGCCGAGTTCAAAATCCCTAATCACCTATAATATTCATTTTTAAATTTAATTATCAACTCATCTTAAAAATATTTTCAAGGTCCAAATAAGTATAAGAGATTTCTTTATAAAAAGTAAGTAGACATATAGTTTAGAATCCTCTATTATATATATAATTGATTATAAAATATTAGGTATAATGCAAAGGTAAAATGCCACTTTTACAGACATATTTAACAGTTATATTATATATTACAATTAATATTTTTATAAATTTTACTAATAAATACTTTTGATAATAAATATAAGTAACCATTAGCATTCAATTCTTTAACGCCATTTTATTTATAATATTATTAAAAATTAAACATTTTATTATTCATCCCACAATGGATGTAATAAATTAGATATATTTTCTCCTCTTTTTTTCTACGTGTTTTTAGGAAAGTCATTTTTTTCTTCTTTGAAAAACAGTTTTGAGTTAAATTTTTAATATGAGTATATTTTTGATATTATTACAAACTACTATTATTTTGAGATATAATATACTAACTAGAGGTGGTGCGACAATAATATATAAAATCTCACATGCTTTTATCATATCACTCAGGTTTCTTATTTTATAGTTATAAAATGTCTCATTTCTAATAAATATGAAATTCAGAATAATTGTTTCAAGTTTGCAAATCTTAAAAATATATTATATATTATATAAAACCGGCCGAACCGAAGGCCGGCCAAAAGCTAGCCGAAGGCCCGTAATTAGGGGGGTATAGGAGGCGAAGCTCCCATAATTTTTTTTAGTTGAGCCCCCTGAGATTGTAAAGGCTAGCAACGCCCCTATATTAGAGTAATAAAATTAGGAATTCTTGGTTAAGAACTAACTTTGCTTTAGTTATTCTATAATAACATCAAAATACGAGTAAAGTTTTAAAAATCAGTTATAGAATAATAGGGCAAAAATTTCAGTAAATAATATATTGAGTAAATGGCATTCCAATGATTACAGTCAAAACCGTTTAATTGCATATCGCTTAAGTGCAAAAACTTTTAAATGCGAAAAAACCCCGCGATTTTGATAATAATTACTATGGTATAATGTTAAATTACATTTATAATTGCGAATCGGTTAATTGCGAAATATCGGATAATTGCAAAATTTTTCAGGTCCCATTTATATAACAATAACGTTAATTTAATCGGATAAGTGAAAAAATAAAAAAAATTTATCGAAAAAAATTATTCATCATTTTTTTATTTAACCTTTTTCCATTCATTCATTCATTCATTCATTTCCACGCCAGAAATTAATATAAAAATGGTAAAAAAATCATTCCAAACATTAACCCTGAAGCATAAAAAAGAAATAATTGATAAATTAAACACTACATCAAAAACACAATTAGCATCAAATTACAATTGCCACGTCTCGACAATCTACCGTTTAATAGCGAATAAAGAAAATCTATGCTCACAATTTCTAAGGAATAAACCTCCTACAACTAAAAGAGTTAGAATGAGTTGTTACCCAAAGACAGAAGCAGCTTTATTGGTTTGGTTTACACAAATGCGAAGTAAAAATTGCAGTCTAAATGGGCCAGTGATGTTAGAAAAAGCTATGTTTTTAGCCAAACATTCAATGAAGGTAATTATAAGTTTTTATAATATATATATATAAATTATAGGCATTCCTACTAGCAGCTGGTTGCAGAGATTTAGGAAAAGACAGAATATAAATTTTCATAATGTTTGCAATGAAAAGGGGAGTGCAGATATTATTAATGCAAATGAATGGAGCAGAAATACACTCCCATCTCTGATTAAAGATTATCAAAGGAGTAATATTTACAATTGTGATGAGACAGGACTATACTACCGAGCATTACCAAAGGGCACAATGGAATTTAGTGGAACTCAACCACTGGGCTTCAAACCAGACAAGGAAAAGGTCACAGTTCTATTTATCATAAATGGGGATGGATCTGATAAAAAGTTATATGTTGTAGGGAAATTTAAAAACCCTAGGTGCTTTAAAAATAAAAAATTACCAGTTAAATACTACTCCAATAAAAGCAGCTGGATGACAACCTCAACTTTTGAAGATATTCTTAAAGAATGGGATTCCTCATTAAAGAAGAAAATTTTATTGTTTTGTGACAATGCATCTTGTCACAAAACAAAATTAACATTTAACAATATAAAATTAATTTTTTTACCAGCAAATACAACATCATTAATTCAACCTTTGGACATGGGTGCAATTAGATCCTTTAAATGTCATTATAGAAAGGGTATCATGAGAAAAATGATAACATTGATGGAAGGAAATGACACCATTTCTTTTTATAAAAGATTTACACTTTATGATAGCCTCTATCTTATAAAATTTGCATGGGGTGAGGTGACAAGTACCACAATCATAAAGTGTTTTATTGAAGCTAAATTTTTTGATAAGTCTATGGCATTTGATTGGGAATCGGAGGATGATATAGCATTAACTGACAACGAAGAAGATGAATTTGATCCCATATTTGAAGAATATGTGTTACACGATGATGATGCTAGCTGCCATGGAATTTTAGATGATCAGGATATTTGTAATCAGATAAGATTAGAGTTGGAAGGTTTAATTACTTAAAATTTTAATTAATCTTATTTTTTATAGAAGGTTATGAAAGCTCCGAGAATGACGAAGGGAACCTAGAGATATCTGATCATTTAATTACAAAAAATCAGGCTCTTAATGGTTATTATACTTTTCTTGAATATGCTCATGAACATCTAAGGGATCAAGATTCACTAAGAAAGCTAGAGAATATAGTGGAAAAAGAATTATTTACTCCAGAGTCTAGCCAAACTCTTATCACAAAATATTTTTATTAAATCTTATATTACTTTATAATAATTGTGATACATGTATAATAAAATTAGTTCAAATAAAATCTTATGTTATAAAGCATTAATAAACTTTCATTCCAGCATGGTCTGTTAATACATTTACATTTATAATATTAGAATTTATAAGATTTGAATAGGCATAGGATTTTAAATCAAATATCATGTGAATGAAAACAAAACACTTAATAAACTTAAATTCTTTTATATTAATCTTATTGTTTCCAGTTTTTTAGGCAAAATATTTTAAAATTTGGCTTTAATAATAAATTAGAATTTAAAAAGTGATAATATATTTGTGTAAAATTATATTTCAGTAAATTTAATGAAGGTAAAATGACAAAAGTAGTTAAAATTAATGGAAATAAATATTAGGGTATTGTAAAGGAAAAAATGTTATTATCTTTCACAAAAGCTTTTTTTTGCTTTAATTCTTACATATCTTAAATAAAAAATGAGATAAAATCAAGTAAACAAATTTAATTATAATTTTATTCAATAAAAAATAATTTATCAACAACTATAATGCTAATACATAAATAATTACAATCTTTTTATAATTAAGTCTTGTTTTCTTTGTTCTTTTCTGTCTATAATCATGTCTAGATCTAGAGAAAATATAAATATATTCAAAATATATCACATTACTTTCAAGTGCTTCAGATATTTTAATATTATTTGATTGATCTAAATTAATTGAATACTTTTTATAAAATAATAACTTGATGAATTGACGATAAAAATATAGGATTATTGGTGGGAAGAAAAAAAAGCTATGATCATATGTTTCAACAAATAAGATAAATTTTTAAAATTTAGTTTTTTTATTCGTTACATAACTTATTCAAATTAAAATATATAGTTGGTTACATTAATTAAAAATTGTATTTATTGCAAAGTTTGATGGCTTATATGATTAAAATATATATAGATGATAAATATCTTTATAAAAAACACAAACTGATTTTTAATAAATAAATTGTTGAATTTTAATCGTATAATTGCGAAAAATCGGATAATTGCGAAATTTTTAAATATTTCGGTCCCAAGCTTTCGCAATTAAACGGTTTTGACTGTATAACAATAATATATTTATCAAGCTATGATAGGAGACCCCAACCGTTTCAAAGTATATTTCTTAACAATAAGAGTATTTTTTGAGATTTAAATTTTTTTCTAACAGCAAATCCTTTAATTTTTGACATATAAGATTTTACAAAATTAGAGCTCTCAAGAGATTTGATGAATCAAATATTACATTTATACGAATAATATTAGTAAATATTCCTTCTTTAGTTATATATTATTACACGCTTTATAATATTCTACAATC